TTCTGGAGTTCGTAGGAACCAGTGTGTCTTTTGTAAAGAAGATGGACATTGAAAAACCGAATGCCCAAAGTTGAATGATCAAACCGGAAAAAATAGGGGAAAAGCTATTCAAGCTTCAGAAGTGAATGTTGTCAGGCTAGGGGCGATAATTCAGATTTGGATTCTTCGAACTACTCATTATCTGCACTACCGTCAGTTTGTATTACCGACTCCACTGAGTGGATGTTGGATTCGGATGCTTCTTACCACATTTGTCCTAGGAGGGATTGGTTCTCCAGTTTTCAGGAGTTAGAAAGAGGAGATATCGTGCTCATGGGTAATGATCACGAATGCCCTATTGGTGGTATCAGTACTGTTCGTATTCGGATGAGTGACGGGGTGATTCGGGAGTTGGATGAAGTGAGGTTCGTTCCTCAGTTAAAGAAGAACATCATTTCAGTTAGAGCTTTGGAGGCAACAGACTATAGAGTGACCTTGGTGGATGCACGTTTGAAGGTCACATTGGGATCCATGACTGTGATGAAGAGCATCAGAAAGAGCAATTTGTATTATTATTTGAGAGCACGGTGATTGATAGAGAGCTGACGACTCCTTTAGAGGCTAGACTGTGACATTTGTTGAGGCTGGGGTATTTGATTGGCTATGTCATGCATAGATTATTGATGAGTGCAGTGACTTGCAGATTGAAGTCCTTTGAGCACATTGGGATGAGCAAAAAGATCGAGGTGGAGTTTAGTACTTCTATCCATCGAACGATGGGTCTTTTAGGTGGTGTTCAGTCAGACATTTTGGGGCCTTCCAAAGAGGCATCATTGGGAGGTAATCGATATTTGGTTTCCGTAGTTAGTGACAGTGTTTTCAATGCGCGAGGTGCAATGCGGGGCGCAAAGTCAGTTTACGCGTACATGCGCAAGGCGCAATGCGATGCGCGCGCCTAGGGGTGGAAATGAACTAAATAATTAATAAATGGTTCGATAATTGTTTGAATAACTATTCGGTCATATTCGATTCGATAGTTCATTTATCACTAAACAAATATTTTTTAGTATTCGAGTTTATTAACGAATAGAATTTAACCAGATGTATATTCGATTCGTTTGTCTATTAAATATTCGTTTAAAATTTGATCACAGTTTATTATTTGTATTATTGCACATATGATGTCATATTTTTAACTCACTTACCATTTCTACTTAAGTTTTATATATAGATTTTAAGACTTAAATAATCTTAAATTTGTTTTCTAATTAAAATTTTGATTTAAATATATATACATCATATATTATAAAGAAATAATTTTAATTTATAAATTTTAATACTATTTGAAAATTAAACTCTTTAGCGAAATAAATATACTTTGATATTCGATAAGTATTCGTGAATATTCATGAATATTTATCAAATACCAAGTATTCGAGTTCAAATTCGAAAAACTAGATATATGAATAATAGAGTCCGCATTCAAATTCGATAATTTTAAACAAATACAAATATGAACAACTTAGTATTCGATTCGATTCGATCATTTACCACCCCTACGCGCGCCCGAGCGAAGCGAGGCGCACTCCAGATCACAAATTTTTTGAAGATATACAAGATGCATGAAAAAATAAATTTTTGTGAAATTTCACATAGAAAATGTCAATGACTCAAGATAGTAGCACATTTTCATATACTCGCAATCTTGCACAGGAAATCAGATAGTAGCATATTTTCAACAATTATTACTGATAGTATTAATAAGAAGCAAATAGTAGCAATTTCATAACTTCATAACTCTGCAGTCTGCACATTTCAACAATCCCATTTAAAATAAGATAAATCTCTCCTTATTAATCATTAGCCTATTATTAATCAATTAGCCTATTATTAATCAATTAGCCTATTATTAATCAAGTGCTCAAACATCAAGTAATCATTAGCCTATTATTAATCAAAATAGTGAACGGAAGCAGAAATAAAAAAAACCGAAGCAGCAGCTAAAAAAGAAAAAAAAAGAAAAAAAGACCGTAGCAGAGTGAGAAGAAGAAAAAAAAGAAAAAACCGCAGATAGTGGGCAAAGGAGAACGGAAGCAGAAATTAAAAGAAAAGTGAACAAAAAAGATAAAAATAACTGAAGATAAAAAACAGTGAAAAGAGCAGCAACTAAAAAAGAACCGAAAGAACTGAAGCAACAAGAAAATAAAAAAAAGTGAAAAAAATGAAAGCAGCAGCCAAAAAAGGGAGAACAAAGACCGAACAGAGAACAGAGAAAGAAAGAGAATTGAGTAGAGAAGGAAAAGGAAAAAAAGCAAAAAACAAAAATGAGAAGGAAAAATTACCTTTGATAGAAAACAGTGATCTAACAAGAAAAGAATTGAAGGAGCAAGAAAATAAAAAAAAGTGAAAAATAGAGCCAAAAGCGGCAGCCAAAAAAAAGGGACGGGAGAACAAAGACCGAAGTCACCGAACAGAGAAAAGTGAAAGAAAGAGAACTGGTAGAGAAAGAAAAGAAAAAAAAGCCAAAAAAAGGAAAAATTACCTTTGATCGATGCTCACCGTGGCTGCTCATCGCCGGCTTCTTGTCGTCACCGAAGATCGAAGTCACCCAAGCGACCCAACCTCAACGGTCCCCTTCCCTCTTCCTGTTGTCGAGCACGAGCCACCAAAGACCTCACCGAACTGGAAGAGAAAGGGAGAGATGAACCCTAATCGCTGTAAACAGGTTAGTTTTGTTTTGGGCCTTTTGGGTTTAAGTTTGAGTCGGGTTTCTACCCGATAGCACGCAGTTTCTGAACCCAATCGTTGAAACGCAGAGGCGATCGCCTTCCATGCACATTCGGGGCGCTCTCGGGAGCTACGAGGCGTGCGCGTGGCGAAAGTGCAGCGCCCCGCACTTCATGCGGGGCGCTATTCCACCGCGCCGCAGCGCCTATCGCCCGAGGCGAGCGCCCGAGAGCGCATTTAAAAACACTGGTTAGTGATTGTACTAGGCATTTGTGGGTTGCAATCAAGTCCCATTGGTTTGAAGTCCTAGAAGTCAACAACAGCTTGAGAAAATGTATTGACAGAAAAGTAATATGTTGTTTTTTTCTGCGTTTGTGCCGAGCTCATGTCAGTTTGAGACACTTCATTAGAGAGGAAACATTAGGACGACGAGATGAGATGACAAATTTGGTGAGTTATTTCTTGCTGAAGGAGGATCGACGTTTGATGTCGAGCATTAGCTTTGGTGTTCGGGCTTCGACATGTTTGGGTCATCTTTATCATAGGTTGTCGACTGCTGCGTTTGGAGATTTTAGATCTGGTGAACCTGCTTTAGATTTTGGGTTGCGTCGGATGTGGCTACCCAACACTTGATCACATCGTGGATGTGAGATTTAATCCGATTGCACATTTGAGATTAGAGGCTCGTTTGGGAGACTCTGATTTTGTTCTGAACAGGAATGTCATTTTTGACTCTCGGCAGGTGGAGAGTGTTGATCAGATTATTAGGATATCACAGCGGGTGGAGAGTAATGCTACTCCATATTGGGTGGAGATTACTTCACATACTCCAGATCATACTGCATCGTTTGGGATTCCAACTGAGGTGACACAGTTTGGGGATAAATTAGTTTTGGATACAGATAATGAGTTAGGTTTTGATTCGAGTGCAGCTGATACATATAGTTTGGATATGGCAATTGGTTCACCTCAGGTGGAGGTGTTTGATTCGTTACACTTTGAGGTCATTGGAGGTGCTATCAGCCGCAAAGTTGATGATATTGGAGAAGGGTTGTGAACTCTTCTATTGGATTGATGGCCTTTGGAGGTCATTTAGGGAACTACGTGAAAGCTTGATTCCTTAGACAAGAGGATACGTAGGCAGTCATTTATGATGCAGCCAATTTGATGAGTTGATACCGATATTTGGAGAGTGTTTGCATTCTCATTTGAGTTCTCGACTTGTTGTGGATTAAGTCTGTTATCATGAATTGTTTCACTTCGTACTGGATGCAACAAATGGGATATTTGGTTTGGTTGGTGTCCGCTCAGTTTTGAGAAATCTTTGCAGAGGTGGAGAATTGTAGATTTGGCGAGAAGGACTCACCTGAGATACCTGAGATCGGAGCTGAGAAGCTCGCCTGCGGGCGAGGGCTTGAACAGATCTCGCCTGCGGGATTGGACAGGCGAGGAGCTCGCCCGATGGCGAGGCGAGGGTGGGCTCGCGTGAAAATCAGAGCTCGCCTGTCGCTGCGGACGAGATGGAGGCGAGGGGCTTGCCTATAGGCAAGGGCGACGAGTTCGCCTGTACGCGGAGGCGAGGGGCTCACCTGATGGCGAGGGTTTGAAGGCGAGGATGGAGCTCGCCTGCGGGCAAGATGGTTGGAGCTCGCCTGAGTTGTGGAGAACAGCTGGGAACAGCTGGAGCGCATGATGGCCCTAGGGTTTCCCTATAAAAGGGAAACCCTATTCTCCAGCAGAACGGGAGCGACGGAAACCCCCTTGGAGCAGCGGTGTTTTTTGAGCAGAGAGGGAGAAAGAGCGTGAGCAGTGGGTGAGATTTATTCTCTCTTCGTTTGGACGTCCGTTCTCCTCCAATTTGTGTGCCCATTTGTCCTGTACTCATTTATTGAGAAGAGGGGTTTGGTGAATTGAATAGGGGTTTCTTTGGGGGTAATTAAGAGAGAGTTTGAGCGGTGATTTTAGATTAAAATCACTTGCTACTTGTTTGAGAGATCTCAAGTTTAAGATCTTCTCTCTTATTTGTATTTTCTTGTTAATAATAAGAAATTATTTGTGCCGCTCCCGTGGACTAGGCAATTTGCCGAACCACGTAAAAATTGGTTGTTTGCGTTTGTGCCATTATTGTGATTGTGTTGGTCCTTCTCTCTCGGCATTTGTGTTTGATCTCGGCAGTAATCCCAACATAACTCTCTGAACATTCATTTTCACTTGTCTATATTTTCATATGCTGTTAAGAGTACTTGAACATACCGTTCAGAAATGATCAATAGCAAAGAGAGCAATTGTAAAAATTAGTAGAAGAGGGCCAATTGATTTGACAAATAATTTCTGATATAAAAAGTTACATGCATTACAAAATTAAGTAAGATTCTTCTAAACAACAATATCCGTACTCCCTTCGATTAACAAAAACAAAATAAATGGACCCTTCAACTAACATCTATGAACCCACAAGATAACTTCTGGTACATATCTCTTCCATGTCTGCCTCAATCCCGAATCCCCTACCTATTAGAGAACATAAATGAACATACAAATAAATATTTCTGAAAATAAAAAGGGATTTTTTTATACATATAATTGGTGTACTATTAATAGAAACTGAAAGCATACACTTTTATTGGATGAGATATATGTTCTCAAGTAATAAAGATGATATGTCAAATCAATTCATGAAATCTTAGTATTTTATCCTTTTGCTGCATACACAAGTTCACTAAAGTAAGACTAATTTTGGAAATCTATACCAATCCAAGTTACGTTCAATAGACATTTAGTAAGCTAACTAGCATAAAAACAGCAAAAATCTTGATAATCAATATGCAAAACCATAATGACTGCTTGCATAAAAGGAAATCTTGAGCATCTATCGTGAAGTAAATTAGACACAAACAACAAGTTAAGAAATTTGAGTCCAAGATATCTTGTTACCTTTAGTTACACTAAAATAATAGCACTTTATGTTATCCATGCAATCTTTCTACAACTCTTTTTGGAAGCTACATTTGGAAACTCGAAATGGTTCAGAAAGCACCTACCTATTGCCTGGAACTCTCAACAAACAGTAGCAAAAAGAGAAGGATCATTCCATCCCTTTGATGCATTCCAAGCCTCAACATCTTTGCAAAAGGATATCTGCGACTCCCTCATAACCTATAACAAACCAAATAATACAGCGATTAACTAATGAGAGAACAATTAATAACCCATCTAATATACAACAGTAGATACAGTAAAAAAAATTTATCCCAAAGTTTTAGAGTGAACTGGACTGAATCCTTTACACTATGCTTGGGAGTTTACTAATGGAGGAGAAGGGAAAAAAAGAGAGGGAATAGTGAAGAGAAAGTGAAAGAGAAGGGAGGGAAACTATGATACCATGTTTGAGAGAGGGAATAGTAAAGGGAATGGAGGGGAATCATTTATTAGCCATTGGATCTATATCATGATGGATAAAAAAAATTCACCGCCTTTAAACCTGATTTTGTCACCTCCTTTCCCCTCCATTCCCTTCTTTAAAAAAATCCCAAACAGAGCGATCCTTTTTTGCTTCTCTTCCCCTCCCCTCCATTCAACCCCATATAGAGTTCATCTTGGAGCGTGTCTCGTATCTAATCCTCACATGTAAGGGAGTCTTGCAGATATAACAGTCCTTCTGTCATTTTAGCATATTCCTCTTTATCTACCTCAACATTCTCAACAGTAAAAAATATATAAATCAATGTGAGATGCATATAATATACTTTGTGTCGAGATTTATTAAGTATATGCCTAATCACCAACAAATCCCCAGAAAGTCCTGGAAGACAAAAAAAACTCCACACAAACAAATGGATTTTGCTCTTTTTAAGAGAAAGCATCTTCTCCACCATTTGGGCTCTCAGGGAATATGCCCATACTATGGTAGATATTCCTCCCAAATTTTTAAGAACTTACCCAGGTACCAAATTGGATAACTATTTTGACAGAATTTTAAACATTGATTTAGGCATCATATACTGCCAGAGCTTACTCCTTACATTACAATTTAGGCTAACACTGACAAAAAATACTGGTCATATCACTTTTAAAGCCCCAGAAACAGAGATGATGAAAGAGAGATTCAGTAACTTCAAGTTTAAAGACAAAAATACTTACCATATCTGGCTTGTGTAGCCCTGCTCGATGCAGTTTATCAACATAATGCAATGCTTCTCTGCATTCTTCTCTGTCATCAATGTACCTCCTTATATTGCCTTCTAATTGATATGTTTCATGACCTCTGCCTGCAACAACCTGCAATATGCTTCTGATGTCAGAAAGCAAAGAATTAGCATAATTAAACAAACTCAACAGTTTATCCTAAACTTAAATATGGCCGAAATTAAAGAAAATGTCAAAAGAGTAGAATCAAAATGATTAGTTTATCGCAAAACGGCAGGAAAAAAATTAAGGAATTTATTTCATCATTAAAAAACCTCCACTAGCTCTCTCACCATGTAATTATTTAAAGCCATAGGTTCAGAAAAAGAAAACATGAGAGAATCCACACAATCGAATTGAGAAAAATTGTGGGATCACGGCTGTTAATGAAAAACTGTCAGTTCTATCTTGAATATATGAGAATCGTGTTTGCTTCTCTGACAAAAAATTTTGTTTGAACTACAAAATAAAGGATAAAGAACAGGTTTAAGCTATAAGTCTTTGTGCAGCAGCTTATAAGAGTAATAAATTCTTCTCTCCTTCTTTTCCTCTTTTCTTTTCTTTCTGGAAAAAATAATGGGAATAGTTCCCAGCCAAATTCAACGGTAACCCACATAAATACACCTGGTTAAGAACATAACAAGGGCCCAAAGTGAAAAAGAATGTTTGATTCAGGTTAAGAGGGAATAATTAGATAGGTGAGAGTTAACTTGAAAACTATAATATTCAAATAAAGCACTACATAATGTGTGGCTAAGATGAAAAGAAGCTTCAGTTTCTTTCATATAAGAAAAATCTAAAGAGTTCAATGCTAAAGCAAATTATAAACTCCATATGTTTCAGAATTTAGTTGTAAGCAGGAAAGGCTAGAAATGAACTTACAACTATATCACCTTTCTCTGCCATCGCTACAGCAGTGCGGATGGCAACTCTTCTAATATCATGTACATATAACCTATGACCATTTGGAAGATGAGCAGAATCAGCATGTTTAGAGTATTGCACATAATCGAGTATGTTCCACCCAACACCAGCCAACATGTCATCCAAGATGTTCACTGTAAAATTTAAGGTTCAGTAGATGGTTCCTACTTGGTAGCAAAACTATATACACAATAATGTAAGAAATAGGGTAAATTTCACAAAACTATTGTGTACTTTTAAATGTTTTGCACAGTAACAAAAACTATTGTAATACAGAAAAGTACGACATAATTTCAAATCAGCAGCAAAATACCATAAACTTTCAAAAAAAGTATCCATGAATCAAATAACATGAATTTTTAATTGCATTTCACAAAACTATCGCAAACTGTTAAGAGTTTTGCACAAAACCAAAAACCCAAATAATTCATGGTAATTTTGTGAAATTTAACCTAAAATTTATTAATGAAAACAATTTAATGGAGGAACATCAACTTAGAAAATATACAGCTCAGAGTCAAGATTACATACATGGATTTTCAGTCTTCGGGTTGTCAGAGGTCAAGATAACTACTTCGCTTTTATCTGCTGCAATCTTTGTCATTATTGATCTCTTTCCTCTGTCACTTTCTCCGGCACATCCGAAAACTGAACAGGATGCATTATTCAAACAGACATCACAAGTCAAAGGCATACCAAGCCAATGAATGCCGTAGTAAATCACTAGAGTTCACTGTTGTTAATAGGAATACATATGCCGCTGACCAATTGTTCACATAGTAAGCAAAAGACTTGATGAGTGCTACTTATAACACAAGAAGGACATTTTAAACATTATATGACTCCATTACAACTAAAAACAAAATGAGCAATTGGAAACTTGAAGAACCAGCCTACAAAATAGTTCAGAGCAGCAGTTGGAAACAGTGATTGAAATATTGAAGTAATAAATAGTTCAGCATAAAACAGCGTATTATATCTTTTGTATGATTTCTACGATATACTGCAATATTTCTCATTTACTTTTCTTGTTTTTGATGATTGAAAATTTTATTAACCTGTTGATATAATCAACTAATGCCTGTGTATTAGTCAACAAGTTGTTTTCTTAGGCCATATTAGACCGTCTGCTCAATAAGCTTATGATTTCCATGGTTAATCATCTTTTCATGTTTCTGATGTTTGACAATCAAATGGAAACAATATGACCCCCTCAAAGTTATTTGAAGCCACAAACAATTCTAGAGAAACCATTGCCTATACTAGCAAACACTAACTTGTCCAGGCATGAAAGTTACATTTCTTTACATCAATGAGCAAAATTGAGACTTGGGTGCAAACAAAATCTATTATTCAATTAGGAAGGCAAGAAATTATAGCAAAGCATGAAAAATGAAAGGGAGAAAAGGAAAAATAAATAATAAACATACCAGTAATAATTCTCTTGGCACCCATTTCTCTTACGGTGTCTAAAACCCTAGCCAAAGCATCTGGGGTATGTGCAAAATCAACAACCACTCCAAAAGGTTGTTGCCCATCAATTATCTCAAACCTACCCGAGACCCCATCAACATTTTCTATCCCTCTCTTAATCTCCTCCAACGAAGCAGCTATCGAAATTCCAACAGCCACCGCTGCAAGAATATTATACACATTGTGCTTGCCAATCAACCCTGAAGAAATTTCTAATATTCCTCCAGGTGTGCTGATCAAAACTTCAGTCCTTGACAGTGAGAGCTTAAACCATATAGGAAAAACATCAGCATCTTTATTCTCAATCCCAAATGTCACAATTGGAACATCCTTATTCCCTCGAGCTAAGAAAAATGATGAATGTGGATCATCAACGTTCACGACTTTATGGTGACGATTCGGATCAACCATTTTCTCAAACAATTTCCCCTTACAATTTCTATACTCTTCTTCAGATCTATGAAAATCATAATGGTCTCTAGTCAAGTTAGTAAAGACTGCAACATTGAAATTGATATCATCACACCTCCCTAATGCTAATCCGTGAGAAGAAGCCTCCATGACTAATGCCTTTGATCCATTCTGCACCATCTTTGCCATCAATTCTTGAACAGTTATTGCATCGGGAGTTGTGTTTGGGACCTCCAACTGTGGATGATCTCCATTGATATAGTATCCAACGGTGCCAAACATTCCGGTTTTGATTCCCATTGTTTCATGAATAGCTTTAACTAAATGGGCAGTCGTAGTTTTTCCATTAGTTCCAGTTATTCCAATAACAGACATTCTCTTAGATGGGTTTTTGTAGAAATTAGCAGCAACTATAGAGAGCACCAAGTTAGTATTTTCTACTATAAAGACTGCCCCGCAACTTGATATCTCATCAAAATCAATCATTTTACTAGCTAAAACTGCAACAGCTCCTCTTCTAATAGCATCACCAACATACATATGCCCATCTGTTTTGGACCCAACACAACAAATAAAGAGATCACCCGGTCTAACTTTTCTCGAATCAATTTGAATTCCGGTCACCAAAGCATTCATATCACCAAAAACCCGTTGCGGCGCAATTCCACTCCCATGCATTAGCTCAGCAATACTCACTTGAAACTCAGACTGTAAACTACGATAAAAATCAGAGGAAGATGGCAAGTTCTGCTTACCAAGATTGTGCCTTTTTAATGAAATTGCTCCCAAGTTTCCATCTTTTTCATCCCTGTGAACTCCACTAGAGCAAACAAAGGGCCCGCCAAGCGTTCGACGAAGCGGGTGAGCGGAAAAACTGGGTTTAGAGAGATTGAAGTAATGCAAAGCATTGAGAGCCATGGAGGGCTTGAGGAGTTTTGATTTTGGGGTGATGTTTTTGAGGGATTTATAATGGAGGGAAGGGAAAGATGGGATCGTCTCTTGGGGGGATGAAGAGGAGAAGCATGTGTAAATTGAGGAGGGAAGGAGGGCCGTAATAATGGCGGGGAGTTGCAGAGGGAAGGAGAAGGAGATGCATGGATTCTTGTTGCTGATTTTGGCGGGATTTGGCCGGCCATTGCCGTGTATTCTTCGGTGGTACAGTCTTAATTTGGGAGGAGTAATATATTTTTATATATATTGTTTCACTCACTTTGACCAAGTACAATGGCTAACAATTGGGACAATTATTTGGTGCAATGGCTAAGCAAGTGGATAGGCAAATGAAAAGTAGGGAAGAGAAAAGGCAAAATTTGCCTACCGGTTAAATTTCACCAAGGGCCCCGCGTGTCAGAAGATGGTTGAGTGATGTGGAGGAAAGATAAAGTGAAAAACTTTTGAAAAACTAGTTGTTGTGGAGTTGAAAAGCAATTAGAAAAGGCAAGTGATGTGGAGGGAGAATAAAGTGAGGTGGAAGGAGAGAGAAAGGCAATATTTGCCTTGCCATTGGAGATGGTCAAGCCCTCACTTGACTTTTCCGTAGCATTTATATAAGTTATTTAAAATTAGTACTTTTTATTATGTGAATGCAAAAAAATTCACCCGGATATTCACATACAACATGCATGTGCTAGTTTAATAGCTTTCTAATTGTTGATGTTTGTTGAATTTACAATTTCAAAATAAAATCTGTACACATTTAAGTTGAAATCTATACAGGATTTTGTAATAAATTTAACAAGTATTAATAGTTAAAAATCTTTAAAATTAGCATGTGAAAATTCGAGATAAAATTTTCATGTTTGCATAATAGATGATACGAGTATGCCAATTATAAATAACTTAGGGTATACTAATGCTAAAAAAACAATAAGAGTATATAATGCGAAGTGACTGAAACTATAAGGTATTTAAATGCTATTAGCCTCATATAAATTTGGTATTGCTTTGGCATTATTGTAATAAGCATTATTTGCATTTAGATACTCCAAAATTTACCCTTTTTCAGCTTTGATATCCCAAAATTCTTGTTTTTCACCCATCTAGATATATCGAAGTTCAACACAATTTAACTTTGATATGACCGAAGAAGACAATTTCGGTTCCAACTCTTACAGCTTAGTTTGTGTCTTTGGTTTCTCACTTATTGTTTTTTTTTAAAGGGCCGTAACTCAAATATTTATCACAGGACTTTAACACATGTTCACAACTTATTGGCATACGTTGGCTTTACGATCAAAATTGGAATATATGGGTACATATTCACTCTAAATTCAACGTCATAATTTAAAAATAAATAAATATCGTTGCGCAGTGATTGGTTACGAACACAAAGAAGGACATCATATCAATCGTTTAAAAATATAAAATTGAGATTGTATTGTACTTGTACATGAATTTTTCATATGCACACCATGGTGCACACAAATACAAATAACTTGATCTCTTTTTTTAGTTATTAATTTTCTTCAAAAGTATATTGGACCTTGGTACATTTATCTTTATAATCGTTTAACAATAGATACTTTAAAGTATTTTTGGTTTAATATAACTGGGATAAACTTTAAAGACCAGGTAAATATTATCATATACATCTTTAGAGATTACTGATATAAATCTTATAGCATGATTAACATAATTTAACACTCGTTTACATACTAAACGAGATTGAATAAAATTGTACATACCTTCTTCCATTGTTGAATGAACACCGAAATTACCGATAATTGTTCTTCCTTGTCCACTCCACAACACAAAACCGAATTAATGGATTATTATTATCACAGGGCTTGATTCAAAAAATTCATCATTGTGTGTGGACAAGTGACTCTCTTTATAGAACTTCAACCATCAAGGAGTTCATAACTACCCAATGTAGTTATGTCTTAAAACTACTAAAGTAGTTAAATTTTAAAATTCAAATTCAAATTGCTATTAATGTCACATAATAGAATATGAAGAGCCAAATATTCCAACATTCTCCCACTAGACTCAAATATTCTATTAATATTCTAATAACATAACAATATTGCAACTATACTTTATGACCAAACAATTTGTTGCAGTCGAATAAGCAAAATAATTAATTCTTGAGAAGCTTCATAAATATATTTATGTACATATAACTTTGAGTCACACTTTATATGCTTAAATAGCAATAAACACATGACTTAAATATAATGTGTACACTTTATTCATCATGAATATAAAACACTAACAACATCAAATATGTCTAGACATAAAACACAACTAACACTTAAACATTAACGAGCCCCATGTTACTTACATGACCCTTAAATGTAATAACTGGAATAGCTTTAGTCAATGGGTCAGCAATCATGAACTCTGTTCTTGTGTGTTCAAACTTAACAATGTGATCACGAGCTCGACCTTTAGCCTTAAGGAACTTGATGTCAATGTATTTCGATCGACTTCCGCTTTTATTGTTGTTATCAAATGCAACCGCAGAGGTGTTGTCATAATAAATAAGCAATGGTTTTGAAATGAAATCAACCACTTTAAGCTCCGCAACAAAATCCCTCAACCATGATGCTTGTGATGATGCCTCTAGCAACCTATAAATTCTACTTCCATCGTCGAAGATGCAACTAAACTTTGTTTCATACTTTTCCAGGATATTGCACCTCCAGCAAGTAGAAAAATATATCCTGAAGTAGATTTTCTTGTATCCTCACAACCAGCCCAATCAGAATCCGTATATCCAATCATTTCCAAATGATTTGAAGAACTATATGTGAGCCTATAATCTTTAGTCCCTTTTAGGTATCTCATTATCCTCTTGGCGGCTTTCCAATGGGCCATTCCAGAATTATTTTGATACCTTCCCAACATTCCTACTGAAAAAGCAAGATCTGGTCTTGTGCAAATAGTCACATACATGAGACTTCCAACTGCAGAAGCATATGGAATGTTTTCCATTTCTTTTAGTTCTGAAACACTGTTTGGACATTGGTCCAAACTAAACTTGTCACCTTTGGAAATAGGTGCATCTTTAGGTGCACAATTCTGTATTTCAAATCTATCCAAAACTTTGTTAATATAAGCCTTTTGAGATAATCCTAATTTTCTTATGGGTCTATCTCTGTGAATCTCTATTCTAATGACATAAGAGGCTTCACCTAAAATCCTTCATTTTAAAGTTTTGTGACAAGTAACTTTTAGTCTCATGTAATAGGTCATTATCATTACATGCAAGTAATATATCATCAACATATAGGACTAATATAACAAATTTACCTTCACTGATTTTAACATATATTCATTCATCCATAATATTCTCTATAAAACCAAATTGAAGAATTGTATTGTGGAATTTTATATGCAATTGACGTGAAGCTTGTTTAAGCCCATATATTGATTTATTTAGCTTGTAATATAACGGATCATTTTGCCCAAAAGTAAATCCTTTGGGTTGTCTTATGTATACTTCTTCCTCAAGATCACCCCTTAGAAAAGTCGTCTTCACATCCATTTGATGTAACTCTAAATCTATATGAGCTACTAATGTCATAACTATTCTTAAAGATTCCTTAAAAGAAACAGGAGAAAATGTTTTATGGAAATCAATGTCTTCCTTTTGGGTAAACCCTTTGGCTACAAGTCAGACTTTATATCGTTCAACTTTACCAGATGAGTCTCGTTTTGTTTTGAATATCTATTTACAACCAACAACTGAGACACCTTTCGGTAATTCAATGAGATCCCATCTTGATTCTTTTCCATAGACTCTAATTCTTCTTCCATAGCATCAAGCCATAAATTAGAATTTTCTCCATTAATGGCTTTTGAAAATTTCCATAGACTCTAATTCTTCTTCCATAGCATCAAGCCATAAATTAGAATTTTCTCCATTAATGGCTTGTGAAAATGAAGTAGGATCATTTTTAGGTCCTATATCAATGTAAGACTCTTAAAGATATACAACATAGTCACTAGGTATTACCGATTTTCTGATTTTAGAGGATCTTCTTAGTTCAACTTGATTGTCCAAATTTTCTTGATTTTGGATAACCGGTACCTCATGAATTTCCTCAACATGAGGAAGTTCATCATCTATTTCATTTTGAATTAATTGTTCAGTAACTTGATTTGGTGTGTCTTCTATAATAGGCACAATTCTCCTTCGAACAAATAACTCATTAACTTTAGATGATGAACTAGGATCCTTTATTTCCTCAATTCTCATTTTACCAGGAAACTCATCAAAAGTTGAATCCTCAAGAAATTTAGCATTCCTAGATTCTACAATTTATGGTGTGTGTAATGGACAATAGAATCTATATCCTTTTGAGTTTAAAGCATACCCAATAAAGAAGCCATTTTCGGTTCTTGAATCAAGTTTCTTAATGTGAGGATTATATATTCTCACTTCAACTCGACAACCCCATACGTGCATATGATTCAAACTAGGTTTCCATCCTTTCCAAATCTCTAAAGGTGTTTTTGGAACTGCTTTTGATCGAACAGGATTAAGTATATACACAGCAGTCTTTAGTGCTTCACTCCAAAAGGATGACGGTATATTAGCATTATTAATCATGCTTCTAACCATATCCATTAGTGTCCTATTCCTTCTTTCAGCCACACTATTTTGTTGTGGTGTATCCGACATTGTGTATTATGCTATAATACCTTTACTTTTAAGGAATTGGGCAAATGGACCTGACATTTGTCCTTTTTCGGTGTATCTCTTATAGTACTCTCCACCCCTATATGATCTCACAATCTTTATTTTCTTATCTAATTGATTTTCTACCTCGACCTTATAAGTCTTAAAAGCATCTAATGCTTTAGACTTTTCATTTAGGAGGAATAAATACATATACCTAGAATGGTCATCAATAAATGAGATGAAGTATTTTTGACCATTTAGACAAGAAATTGGAGATGGTCCCCATAGAATGGTCATCAATAAATGAGATGAAGTATTTTTGACCATTTAGACAAGAAATTGGAGATGGTCCCCATATGTCTGTATGAATAATTTCTAGACATTTTTTGACCATTTAGACAAGAAATTGGAGATGGTCCCCATATGTCTGTATGAATAATTTCTAGACATTCTATACTCCTTTAGAACCCTTTTTAGTAATATTAGTTTGCTTTCCCTTTATACAATCCACACATGTACTAAAG